AATAATTTTCGAAAACGAATGGAATACAATTACGCAGGATGAAATTAAAAGACTAATAAGGAGTATGCCTGATGGTATGAATGAGGTAATACGCGCATGAGGCAGTCATACCCACTATTAGTACACACACACCACACACATAGCAGAGAGGGTTTGGAGTCATTAATTACTGCAGGAGTGACGAACTGCGGGGTCCTTATCTCTGCTGTAACACCACACACACACACACACACACACACACCACAAGGAGGGTGTGAAATCTTGAAATACTGTGGAGCTGACGAACCACGGGGTCCTTACCCTTGTGGTATACAAACACCCACGCACACACACATACACACACACTACATACAATGGGACTTTTCCTATCAGTAAAACTCCATGCAGTTTATATTGCGAAGACTTACAACCATAATTTGAGCTAATGACAGCGGTATCTTAAAACGCAATTCATCTTTATTACGTAATATCGATTACGCAAAATGAAGAACCTAAATTGAATTTTACTTTCATTTCCCTGGCTTTCAAAATAATAAATGCAAATCATTGAATATATTGTGCAGGTTATGTAAATTATTGTATAGAGAATAATGAACGCGGCTATTGAAATTATGAAAGAGCCAAACGAACCGCAGAGCCTCTTAGCCCCTTAAGCCTCGCTGAATCGACATTTGTTGCAAATTCGAAATTGAATATCTCTTCACCTAAATATCCTAGCAGCAAATTTCAAAAACGGTTTGAAAGCTTTGAAACCGTACTTTTCGAAAGATCTATCGAAATTGTGCGCAACGATATTTTTTCAAAATGGCGGGTGATAAAAAGAAGAACATGAAAAGTTGCTAAAAAAAGGTTCGAGCGTGCGATGGCGCATGGAGCAAAGTAAGTGTCGCAGCTCAGTGGGACGAGAAGTACCTAAGAGTATAGAATGTTTTCTTTAAAATACTTCGTTATAGAGCTTGATGCGATATTTATTCACTGAATTATGCAAATTTAACAAGAAAACCGCATTTTTAGCAAAATTTGGAACAACTCAGTGAAAAATGATCACATCGAGCTCGGTAAAGTAGCATTTTAAAGATAACACTCTATACTTTCATGTGCATTTGGTCTCATTACGCTGCGATACCTGATGCACACCATGCACCATCGCAAACACGGACCTTTGATTATCAATTTCGCATCCTCTCACTTCATCATCCGCCATTTTGAAAAAAATGGCCGAGCATAATTGCCATTCAGATATTCTTAAAGAGGACGTTTCAAGCTTCATTTTGCATTTCTGCGCATATTTGTATCTTCATTATTTACCAAGTTATGATCATTTGAAATTTTGTAATTTTTTCCCAAATTTTTAGTGTACCGGGTTTTTTGCGTTTGAGTGTAGAACTTAATTATAAACGTAATTATAAAAGGAAACTAAAAGTAAAAACATTATTTGATTGTATAACAAAGTAAAAGAATACTCTCACGTATCACGTATTATATTTCGATCTTAAGAGCTAACGCCCGTCTTAGGCCAGGTTGTCCTCAGGCCGGTCCTCGAAGACGTCTCCCACCTGGCTCGGTTTCTCCTTGACGACGGTGCTTCCCGTCGGGAGTTGTTCCTCATCCGTGTCCTTGGTGAGGCCGACGACCATCGGGCTGCTAGGCGCCTTCTTGCCTTGTCCGGTTGGTCCGCGGCTCTTCCCTTGAGGTCCGGTTGGCACCTCGAGGTCCATCTTTGATGTCTAGTTGGTCTCGTACCTGCTGCTCGAAGTTCCCTTCGGGGTCAGGCTGGACTTTGTTAGGCCCCTCAGGGTCAGGTTGGACGGATGTTGGCCCTGGCGGTCCGGTTGGCGCCGCTTGATCCGATGCTCGAAATCCGGTCGTCTCAAGTCGGTTTGGTTCGGTCATGCCAGTGCTGGTAGATCCAAAGAATTTCCAACGCTACAGCGCATGCCTGAAGTGACGGAGAGCTATATATATGTAAAAAGCCACTGACAGTATAAAACGTATGACAGAGAGGATCCATGGAGGGGCCCACGCAAAGTATCTATGTCTTCCGTAGTTGTCTTTCTGCGTTTCTTCCGCGAGTGCGTGGTTTAGGGTTAGGTTGAAACCGGACTCAAAATCGATGCTCAAGTAGAGCTTGAAGATGCAGATTGCAGTACATAAAAACGGATCGGTCGCTATCCGCCCAGTTTGCCGATGGCACGGCGCAGCCTCCCGAAGATGGACGGGAATCTCGGAAGCGGAAAGCTAACACCGCATTCTAAAAGTCCTTTATTCGTTCAATCTTTTATATCATGGGGACTTATCTACCGTACACTTCGCCCGGCCGCGTCGCGCTTATACGAGTCTTTCCGGGGGTACCTTGGCTCACGTCCGGCTGCTCTGGCTGTCCAGGCGAGACTTCTTCTGTTCGGCACTTTTGCGCCTCCCAAACTTCCTTCCACACTTACTCTCTCTCTCTCTCTCTCTCTCTCTCTCTCTCTCTCTCTCTCTCTCTCTCTCTCTCTCTCTCATTCCTTCTTTCGTGATAGATGCGGTTCACTGATTGCCAGTCACACTCGCTCGTATACCAGGGCGCTTGTTCCGACGATCACTGCGCGCGCAGGCGCAGACGGTACTTCGCAACGGACAACATAAACTTTTTCATTAAATCGATTATCAAAACGTAACATAATATTCTGCTATAAAATCGCTCGCAAACATAACAATGTTAAATATATATATTTTGTGTATATATAAACTTATCTCTAATAATTCTTTTTGTTCTAGGTCGCCGCGGGACATCATGGGATGCTTTAATACAATGACTCATCCAGGCAAGAATAACATAAAACTATAATATTTCTCTACTAATCCTTTTTCCTTTTTCTGGTCTCCGCAAGACATCGAGGGATCATCGATAAGTGTAAAATAAACTCTACTTAACTAATATTGATTATCTTTTCAGGTCTCAGTAGGCTCTCGAGGGACGCCGTCTCTCGATGCTCACCACTAGTCGCATCACAGGTACTTATAATAGGTAAGTATATCTTAAGTCTCATCTTAAGTAAGTATACAACTTTTAAGTATTATCTTAAGTATCTCATCGCTCGTAACTTAAACGCTTTTATCCTAATAAATAAAATTAAAACAATAACTTATTTCGCTTATTCATCCTAAATCGGGTACTTAAGTCCCTACTTAAGTTTCGCTCGGATAGACTCCTCGCTACTTTAATATTACTTATCGAGGTCCGGTAGTTCCGTCGGGTCCTTGACTGCTTGGCCCGGCTTACCACCCTTTGGAGTGCACCTTCCTGAGTACCTGCTCGGAATCCTGCGCGCCTTCTCGAGATCCGGCTGGTCTGGTCCCTGCTTCTCGGAGTCCGGACGATCCTCGTCCGATTCCTTCGAGTCAGGCTCCTTCCGGTCAGGTCCTTGGGACTGCATTTCGAAGTCCGGCATCTCGGGGTCTGGCTGCTTACGGTCAGGTCCTCGAGACTGCTCCTCGAGTTCCGGTATCTCGGCCTGGGAAGTCATCTTTCCTCGATGTACTGTGGACTCGGGATCCTCTGGAAGAAAGTTAGGTTGGTTTAGGATTTTTAATTGAAATCCTTGCCAACCCCCGGCGTTCGTCCCCAGCTGTTGATGGAACTGCTGGTCTTCAGTGAGCTGTATTGCCTCCCGTCAGTCTCTGCTGCTAATGGTCGGCAGTGAATCGGTCTCGGCGGCACTTGAGCTTCTTCTTCCAATTCCTCGATCAGCCTTTGGCTTCCTCATCCTTGCAGCGGATGACTGCTGCGAGGTTACCCAGTAAACATTAAATATGTTATATTTATGTTGTCACATCAGCATTATAATTTCTTAATATCATTAATTAATGTAATGTGAGTGTTACTTAGTGTTTATATGTAGTGTGTAAGAATAGTAATAGTGCAATCAGTAATATCATAGTGCAATCATAATGTTCATTTTTTGTTAAATAAAATATTAAGTGCTGTGAAAATGGATGACCAACTTTCAACCAGTAGCATCGAGAAGAGGAAAGTTGAAGCACAAAAATTTAGAACAGCGTGATTAGGTATGAACATTTTTAAAGATTGGTTGACATGGCATCAGGTACGTTCAATAGTAAATCAGTGAAAGTGTATGATATTAAACATTTACATATCATTAATGATAGTACTAAGTATTGTGTTCAATATTAATATAAGTATTCTTTTTAACGTTTATTTGTTTTGTACAATTTTATTGTAAGAATATTAGTAAGGTTTTTCTGCAGTTTCCCTTGCTATTACAACAAATGTTGGTATTCATATATTTTTCTGCAGTTAAAAAATAAAATTATATGTTTATTATTAATTATGAATAGTATTCTGTTCATTTCACAGACCTTTCTATTATCGCTACAATTCCTTCATATTTTCTTTCAAACGAGGGATCTTACGCCTGTATAGGCTATAGATTGAAAATTACAGCTGAACCAACTTAAGTTACCAAGATTTAGATTACCTGATTTATGCGATTGCAATTTTCAATCCATAGTATCTTACGAGCGATAAAATACCTTTAAATTAATACGGTACTGAGGCTCCCACAGCGTTTGCTCAATGCGCACGCCCGGAAATTCTCTGGATCTCCCAGCATTGGGTTATGCTCTGTCGAGAACCATCCCGATCCCCGACCTCCATCCCCTGTTGGTGTTGGGATGGGCTCCTGGCGTTTACTCACCCGCCCAGTCCTCCCTTCCTGTCCTTGCTGATGGTTGGCACGGGCCTCGTTTCCTCGACCCTAGTAGTCCTCGGTTGTCCAGGCATCTCGGTACGCTCGGCCGCTGGCCTCGGCTCCCCTTCGCTTGCAACTGTGTGCTGTTGCAAGGTTAAGTTGTAACCGGACTGCAAGTCCTTTCTCGCGGAAGATTGCAGGTTCTCTTTTAGATAGTCGGTCGCCACCCGTCCTGTTGGATCACGCACGGGGCTACCGTCCCGGAAATGGACGGGGATCACAGAAGGAAATGTAAACACACCGCACTTTTAACTGAAAGCCTTTTATTCGTCTTCCTTACAGCCGCCGCAGCTTCGCCTCGCTCTTTGTCACGTCGCGCAGTTACAAAATCTTATCTCACGGGAGCGGGTACGCGCATGTCCGCTCTCTTCCGGCGTCAGAATCCTACTTCCCTCGGTTCCTCCTTGACACTGGTGCCTGTCGTCGGTGGATACTCCTCCTTCAGTTCCTCGGTCAGATCGATGACCATCGGGCTGTTGAGCCTCTTCTCACACGGTCCGGTTGGTCCTCGGCTTTCCTCTCGAGGTCTGGTTGGCGCCGGTCGGTCTTCCACTATCCTAGGCCGTCGGTGTGTTTCGGCGACCCTCGATTCCGGCTCTCGGCTGTCCTTGGCGCGTCGGTCGGCCGTCGGCTCCCTCTCGCCTGCAACCGTGGGCCGTTGCACACTCCCACCTGCCTCCGTGTTTCCGGGCCATCGGTCCGGAGATTCGGGGGCACTCGATTCAGGCGAGTCGGCGATCGTTCGAGAGAGTCTTCTGGTAGCGGCTTTTAGTTTTTCGACAACTTTCTTGCGATATCGCTGATTCGCGAGTCGCTTCAACTCTCTCTTGTACTCTTCCTTTTCTTTTCGAAGGCGAGCCGCTCGTTCGTCTCTTATTTTCCTTTTTCGTAGCGTTTCCAGTTTCTCCCGCAGGATGGCTGCCTTGTCACGGTGATGGCTTTTCCGCTTTTCCTTGTCGTCGGCTTGGTTGTTGTTCCGATCTTGTGGCATTTTCTCGAGACGTTTCAGCCTTACCAGTGGCTTCATGCGGAGCTTGCTTGCTGGTTTCTCGGCTACTGGCTCGCCGTTCTCCTTGTCGCTGCTGTCTTTGGGACTGGGTTTCGATGTTCTTGTTGTCCTCGTTGGCTTCGGAATGCTTGATTTTGTCACGCTCTTTGGTTTAGGATACTCTGGATCTGGATACTCCCATCGAGCCTCAGGTAATATTGCTCTGTCAGGTCCTGTCGAGTTCGAGGTTGCTTCGATGTGTGTCCGCCGAGTGGTCTCACGGTCGCTTTGGCTTTGAGTCGGTGTTTGTTGACGTTGCGACTCGATGTTCAGGGTACTCTCGGCTTCCTCTGAGGATGACGAGGCCTCCAGTCGTTTGATGTTATTCCGACATTCGGTGATGGAACGTCGCAACTGGGAGATTTCTTTCCGCATTTTCTCGCATTTGGCCTCTTCGAGTTCTCGTTCCTTCTGGCGCTGTCTCCTCAATTCTCCTCGCAGCTCTTCGCACTCTCGTCTCAGTTCCTTGAAACTCATGCTGGACCTGCAATTAGATGAGAGAGACACTCGTTAAGACACTCGTTGTTCTCGAGAGGGGTTTTTAGAGATCGATTGGATCTCCCGCGGTCCCCGCGATGGTCGCGAGGGGATACTCCCGCCAGTTCGAATTTTCCGGTGTTTGCCCGGCCGCTTGGGTAGTCTTACGACATCCCAGGTTTCGTCGAACTCCGGCAACAATATCATTTGGTGATTGAGTTTATGGGTTCTTTTCGGTTGAATCCAGTATTCGTTCAAGTCGTCGGAGTTCGATGACAGCTTACGCGCTATAGTAGCTAATCGAATCTTTGGTCTGATTCGTTTTCTACTAGGCCCAGGCCTCGGAACTTCGCGTTCCGGCTCATATGGTGATTCGAGCTCGGCACTGTATCTCGGTTCGCTATATGGTGTGGATTGCGATTCCCCGTGATCCGAAAAATTCTCGTTCGGTCTCCGCGTGTCTCCATACCGGTACGCGGTGTGGTCGCAGTTGTCGCATGTTGTACTGACCTATGAACTCGGAAGTTAGACGCTCTATTAAGTACGCGTTCGGATGTCTCGCCGCGCACGCGAAATGGTCCCTCGTACAGCGGGAACAATTTATGAATTTTCGCGTGTCGTTGGTCACTGCGGCGATGCGCCTTGACTCACACTAGGTCTCCCGCTTGGTACTGCGCGGCTGTATCATGTTTCTCGCTCTGGCGTCTGCGTTTCCGCGCCATAATTCGGAGACGCTCGCTGGCCTTTTGTTTTAGTCCGTCACGGTCTAACTGTGGTGTGACTCGAGGTCGGTATCTCGGGTGGATCTATCACAAGATCTACCTCGCGGTCCTCGAGTATCGAGGGTGGCACTCCGGTGCTCGAGTGCTCGGTCGCGTTAAGTATCTGCTCGATGCGCGGCACGATCTCGTCCCATCGACGATGATCGTCGCACGCGTACGCACGCAGCGCGCGACCCAACTCCCGCATGACTCTCTTTACGGGGTTGCTCTGTGGGTTGTACGGGAATGTTTTTCGTACCTTAAACCCCTGTCGTCGGGCGAATTCCTTCCAGTGACCTGCAAGGAACTGACCACCACAGTCGGATAAAATTGTACGCGGTTAACGTCGAGGAAGTAACCTTCCTCGAGTACTCGTTCGATGGTCTTGAGTTTTTGGTCTCGTAATGGGTACATTTTGGTATACCTCGAGAATTGGTCTATCATTACGAGGACATACGCGTGTCCGTCGTAGGATTTTGGTAAAGGCCCGTACAAGTCGATGGACGCGACCTCGCCGACGTTTTGCGGGAGATCATAATACTCTGCTCTTCGAGTAGGTCTCGAGTACACTTTTGTTGCTATGCAAAGGTGACACGAGGCCACTACGTCTCGAGTGATTCGGTCGACGTCGTCAATGTCGAAATATCGTCTCGCGAACTCTAAAAGTTTGTCGGTGCTGAAGTGGGTAAGGTACTGGTGGATCTAACTTACCAATTCCCACGCGATCTCGTTCGATACTGTGACTCGGTCGCTACCATCTTCTCGCACAGTTCGGATAAATCCGTTGCGCATCTGATACTAGTTCGGGTCATCCGCCGCTCATTCTAATATAAGCGAATCGTTGATTTACGCGTCGCGGATGAACTCGATACAATCACGAGTGTTCCTGCCCTCGTCAGTCTCAGCCATGAGACATACGAGGCGCGTACTTTTTGCGGCCTTCGCGGTCCCACTCGTAATTGGTGTCTCTTTCGCAGCCCGACTCGGATGAACCAGAGTCGCTGGTTCTTTGCTGTCGCTTCCAGCGCTCGCTGCGCTCGGTTCTTCTTCGTTTGCGAATCGGCTTGCGCGAAAGCGCGTCCGCCGTGGTGTTTGTCGCGCCGGGAACGTGACAGATGTTGAGGTCGAATTCTTGTAAAAAGGCGAGCCATCTTACTATTCGCTGACTCGCCATGGCGCATGCGCTTACGAAGTTGAGTGCGCGGTGGTCGGTCTTTACCTTTACGCGACGTCCCATCAGGATTACTCGCCATTTTCGCAAGCACCACACGAGGGCTAGTCCCTCGAGCTCTGTTATGGTGTAGCAACGCTCGGCGCCCTTCAAACTGCGGCTCGCGTACGCGACGGTGTACTCGCGACCCGATTCATCGAACTGAAAGAGACGCGCACCTATTCCGACGGTTGACGCGTCTGTCTCTACTCCGTAGTTGTACGCCGGATCTAGTAGATAAAGTCGGCTCGCGTCGCGTACGCTATCTTTAATATCTCAGAACGCCTGATCCGTCGTCGTGAACTATTCGAACTTCACGTCTTTTCTGAGCAACCTTTCCATGTGGATCGTGTATCGTGCGAGATTCGGGATGAACCGGCGGTCCCAATTCACCAGTCCGAGGAAGGCCTGTACCTCCTTCTTGTTTCGCGGCTTTGGAAAGTTTATTACGTTCTGCTTGGTCTCGTCCGTGATGGTCACGTGGACTCGCGAGATATCATGTCCCAAAAAGACTATTCGATCCTTCGCGAATTCACATTTTTGTCTGTTTAAGCGAAAACCGGCCGTCTGCAGCGCGTCGAACACGCCCTCCAGCTGTTGCAAATGGTCGCTCTCGTTTTCGCTGGCTATCAATACGTCATCGAGATACACAGTGACGCACGACTTGAGATCGGTCTTCTCCTTGAGTGCGGCCTCGATCGCCTCGATCGAGTGAACGACGTGCCAGTCGTTTTTATTCCGAACGGAAGCCGTTCGAAGACGTAAGTCTGGTGTTCAAAGGAGAAACCCGTGTACTGTCTAGAGTTTTCGTCCAACGGTATTTGCCAATATGCCTGGGTTATATCCAGTTTACTGAACAGACGCTTCTGCCCGATGCCCGCCAACATCTCGTCGATAGTCAGAGGCTGCGCGTGATCATTCTCCATACGCTCGTTAATCGCACGGGCGTCGAGGCAGATACGGATCTTCCCGTTGGACTTGGTTACCGCCACCAAGGTTTATATACTGTTTATATACTGCGTCGCGGCCCTACTGACGACTCCAAGAGTTCCCATCTCGCTGATCTGTCGTCGTACTTCCTCGAGATGTTTGCGAGGAATCGGATACGACTTGCCCTTGAACGGCCTCGCTGTGGTCATACGGATCTCATGCTCGTAGCCTCGGATCTTTCCGAGGGATTCGTCCAAGAGTTGACCATACTGGTCCAAGAGACTCTCGAGTTTGCGCGGAAAGTCGTCGCTGATGTTCGCGAATGTGTCCTCGGTAACCGACTTTCGCGTCTCGAGTACCTCGACGTTTTCGGGATTCGCTTCGGACGTTGACGGTAGACTCGTTTCGGGTGTTTCGTGCAGTTCTTCGGCGCGATTCGCACCGATAAACGACGTGGGTTTCGGACATGTCACGGCGATGCTGTATTTGCTGAGAAAGTCCGCTCCTAGGATCATTGGAACGAAAAGTGTTTCGATCGCGTAGAACTCGTGCGTATACTTGTTTACGCGGCCTTCCAAGTCTCTCAGCTCGACGGTTAGCTGAATCAGCGCGCTCGTATGTACGCCCTTCTGGTTGAAGGCCCCGCGCACGTGGGTCTTATTAATCTCTACACGAGGAAACAGCTTTTCGGTCTCGGTATCCGTCTTATTGCATATTCGCTGTTCGAAGTCGCGTATCAGACTGGGATTCACAGCGGATATCGCCGCTCCTGTGTCGAGTAAGGCGCTAGTCGTGATTCTATCGAGTTCGGTCTTGTCCTCCGCGACCACGTCTATCCTGATCACGGGTACATTTCTCGTTTTCTCCTCGAGGCGCTGGTCTCGGTCCTCAAGATCTCGTAACTCTATGATCATCTCGTCCATTCTTAGCGACGATACTTCATTCCGCGATTCGCGCGGTCGCGATGTCTCGCGTCGATCTCGAGTAGTCGACCCATCTCAGGGAACTGATCGTCGTTCTCCGTTTCCAGTCGTCTCAGGCACAGAGACTGAGGTTCGCACCTCCGCGGACTCCCGCCTGTCTCGATAATCGCGCGATCAGCTCGCCGAGGGTTCCCGGGTAACCGATCGTTCTCGTTTAGCCATCACCGGATCGCATCTCTCGCGAGGTTCACGTACCTCTCGGGATAGTAAGCTCTTCCCGAGTCTCGGCGCTCGGTCGTCGGTTTGCGACAGCGAGTGCGGTCCGTTGAACGACGCGAATATTCCGGATAATCTCGTCTATCGTACGCGGTCTTGCCGTACTGCCTCGATCTCGAGTAGGATTTCTCCGACTCGAGTTCGCGCAGCATGCGTTCTTTGACCGCGATATGCGCACGATTTCGCTCGCGGTTTTGAATCACGGTTAGACACGGTGACAGTTCGGATATCGTGTCTACTCATGAGTAGGTAACATGAGTAGGTCCTCATAGATAGATCAGCGGTGAAGTGCTGGCTGAGGTATTCCACCAGCTCGCATTCGGGAATCGGGGGAGAGTATCTCGCGTCGCGGGTGAACTTCTCGACGTATTCGCTCATCGTACGACCCGACTTGTTGTTCATGCCGTTCCTAACCGCGTCGCGAAGTTCGTTCTGATCGACCCTTCCCTGATATTTCTCCCGCAATTTTACTAAAACTTCACCGAATTCATGAAATTCTTGGAAGTCGAACCATTCTCTGGCCCGACCTTGTACGCAGTGTTTGAAGAAATAAAGTCGGTCTCGTTCTCTCAGCTCCTTATAATCCGCGATGTCCAGAAAATCGTCGAGGAATCTGACAGGATGCTGTTTGTCGCTGCGACCGGAGAATTTTAAATCTCCGAATGGGTTCGTTCGCGGTGCTTAACGGCGATTTCTTCCTCCCTTCACTTTGCCTTCTGCACTCTTCGTTCCTCCGCTGATGTAGCGATATATAATAGCAGCTGCCTCGCGAGTCGAATATCGCGGTCTTTCTTCTTCGCGGAATCGTAGGATTCTTAGTTTGCGTCTTTCCGACGTTTACTTGTAACGACACAAAAATCTTTGTGCCGTTACGCTGACTGCCGCCTAGCAGCACGCGACAGTCAGC